GTAGGGGAGGGTGGGGGTAAGGGGGAGAGATCAACCAAAGGACGTGTAGGCATGCATATAAGCCTAACCAATGGACACAGACAACAGGGGGTAAGGGCATGAGTGGGGGGATGGGGGAGTAATGGGAGGATAAGGACACATATGTAATACCTTAATCAATAAAGAAATTTTAAAAAAAGAAAGAAAATTACCTGTTCTCGCCTTGCTCCCAGGAAACTTGATGCAGTTGGGAAAAGCGTGTTCTGGTTCTGGCCATGTCACTTGCAGGGCATGTGACTTTGGGCCAGGTATTTAACTTCTCTAAATCTTAGCTTCCTGGCTTTTGCTGTTGTTGTTTTTTTGCTAACTTCACCAAGTTTTTAATCTTTTCATTTGTTCTGTCCACCTTCCCTCCATTCTATTTAATATATTTATTATGGTTCATCTAAAGCTCCATATCTGGTGCCACCAATGTCTGAATCCTGAGTGATTCTGTCTCTATTCATGCCTTTCAGTCTGCTTTGAGTGGGGTACAGCTTCACCAGCCATCTTTAGGACAGTGTTTCCATAATTTCTTTCCTATTATTTTACATTCTACCTTCTGTGTTCTTATATTTAACACATCTTACTGGTACATAGTTGGTTTTCTTTTTCATCTATACTTGGCAATGCTAATGTCTAGACTATGAGGTACATGTTCTTGTTTCTTTGTAAGGTTAGTAATTCTAATTTTTTAATTTTAATTAAATGTAATTCAAATACTCGACATTGTGCATTTAGAAAAAGGAAAGGGAAAGAGGTTCCATCCACAGACTGTTGCTTCCACCTGAGAAGAGTCCCCCTGCCCTCTGTTGGCTGATAAATTAAAGGGCTGATCACCTCCCTCCAGTCAGGGGTCAGCTGGGTCCTGGCTGCCTTTGCAGTCAGACCTCAGACAGACTCAGTCTTTCTCTCTCTGATCCTTATTTCCCAGGCATGGCCTTTGCTGTCCTGATTGAGAGGCTGGCTGGTCTCAAACTCCTCAGCCTTGAAAGTCTACAGGAGAGCTGGGGTGTCCCACCTACATCTCCAGCTTCTCACCTCAGGAGCTTCAACCTGGCTCCTGTCTTGGGGAGGACAGGAGTGGTGATCTTGGGGCAGGTTCCTTCCTGTGGTGGGTCTTTCTTCCCTAAGCATTGGAGACAGCATGGCAACTCCTGTCCTTTAAGTTCATGTTAGCCTAGCTTCTTGCCAGTCATTCATTCAGCTTGAAATTGTGCACTTGGGGCTTCTCAAGTTTCCCGTTTCTTCCAGATCCTGCCACACCTGAGAGCTTTACTGGTTTCTCTCTGCTCCTGTGGATGGCCTCTTTCTGAGCCAAGTCTGAGCCTCAGCCTGTATTCAAAATTGGCAAATGTCCCCAGGGAAGAGGAGGGACAAAAACCTGTGGGCAACTTGGCAATATCACCTCATTTTGTAACAGTGTTGATTCTCTGAAATATGTAGTCCCTTTAGTTCTCACTGCTCTCATAGCTTTCCTATGCTGTGATTCCAAAAAAAAATTAATAAATAAATTACTCAGGTTTTTCTGTTGATACAGTGGGAGTACTGGTCTACCATAACTTACAGCATACTACCCAGAAATGAAAATGGAGAAATCAGTTCTTAATCCGTTGGAAAGCAAAATTCTCTGTCAATATCCCCCTTCCCAAGTTCACAGTATCCATCAGGATTTTTGTTTTAACACAGCTGATGGCCATCTTCAATACAATGTTTTTTTTCTCTGAAATATTAGTCATAGCATGTCATTGCTATCCTCTTAAAGGGCATCTGGAGGAAAAGAAGAAATCTGAACCTAGAGTCTTAACAAAGGTTAGCAAGGAAGGAGAGAGATACTCATAGGTAATAAAAATTTTAAATGACGTAGCAAAGAGTGGGTTGGAGTAGGAATTATCAGGTTGTGGTTTAACATTAGATTCTTCCCCTACTGGATTACACTGGGCAAGCCATTTCTTTCTCTCGGTCTCAGTCTCCTGGCATTTGAATTAAGGTTTGTTTGGCACTAAAACCTATTTCTTACTCACTATTCCAATGCTGTTACCTGGTACATAGGGGAGCCCTGATTTAGCTCTTGTCTGTCTGTTTGAAACAGCCCCCCAAAGCAATAGAAGTACTAGAAGGGCAGTGTGGTTTTCTGGCTTCTGTGGACAACAGATAAATGACCTCTGAAACAGTTTCATCAGAACTAGAGTGGAATGAGAGGGCTCAGGATTAGGGAGATGCCCACAGTGCTGAAGACATAAAGATCTACCTTACTCTGTCATTCCAGCCAAGAGGGCTGAAACCTGCAAGTCCAGGGTCCTGGAGCTGAACAGAGGGTTCCCCAAGCCCCCGTGGTCCTGGGGAACAGGGGCCAGCCGGATTTTTGCTTCTACTGTTGGCCATCTTCAATATAATGTTTTTCCTCTGAAATATTAGTCATAGCATGTCATTACTATCCTCTCAAAGGGCATCTGGAGGAAAAGGAGAAATCTGAACCCAGAGCCTTAACAGAGGTTAGTAAGGAAAGAGACAGGTACTCATGGG